TRKTAAAGATACGAAAAAAAATAATTCGGCCAATATCCATCCATCTTGACCTCGCGCTTGATTGATGACGCATATATATAGGCTGGATTTTCAACTTATTGCCTTAATGAACTGATCACCAGTCATACTGAGCTAAGGCTAAATCTTTAAGAACTCACCTAAAACAATTACTTCCACAGTATGGGAGTCAAGTCCGAACGGGTTTTTAGCACGGCAGGTGTATTTTCCACTATCTTCCAATGTGACGTTTTGTTGGATATAGGTTCCCACGGTACTGGTCTGGTTTAAGAGGAGTCCATCTCCACAAGTCCAGGTCATTTGAGGCGTGGGCCAACCATCTGCCACACATACCAAAGACAGGTTCGTTCCTTTGGGCACGTAGACTTTCTCCGGTGTTTTAATTTCAATTCGTGGCGCTTCTAGAAATTCAAAGGACAAAGGAAGTTGTCAATAATCATGAAAATAATAAAGAATAACGAAACGATAATGTCAATGATAGTGACAATGATAATGATATAGTGATAATAATATAATGGAAGCGAATTCCGGCTGATTCGTTAAGTTTTAGCCGAGATCTCTCAGTTATTCTCGTTTTCAATCAAACACGCGGCAGTTCCTGCAGCCCGGATATCACTAAGGAAATGTCCAAAAACATAGAGTACAGTGCACTAACATGTGGTACAACCTCTAACGTCTGTTTTCCTGAAAATGGAAATCTACATGCACAATACTGAGTCAGTGAATGCTCGTACCTCGTATTTTCAAATAAGTTTTTTGCAAACTCTTCCCAATACCGTGGAAGTGAGCCCAGCACAGAATAACCATACCATCGTATTCTGGTGACATCCTAACAATTGTTAGCGTTCCAGTTAGGTCGATTTTAAACAATTGTGGAAAGTCAACCCAGACGCTTGTTTTATTAATCCCAGCAAAGGGGTGTACTTTTCCTTCGCTTGACAAGCATAATTCTAGGTCTTCACAGACGAACCATGCCAAATCATGGAAACCAGGTAAACTTGGAGGGGGATGGTATGGTATCTTCAGATTTTCTTGCGACGGTTTCGCTACAATATCGATCTTAGACACAAATAAACCTATGGAATAGTAGGAAAGTGCGTTAATGGCTATGATAGTAATGGATACTACAAGAAAATACCCAATGGCATTTTGGAATCTTGGCAAAGGACACCAACACTTAAAAAGGGTCAGAAACTGTAGGCAAAGCAAAACTCCACTTCTGATGCCTACGTATAGGGTACCTGCAGTCTAATTCAAAACTTCACGGTCATGAGTTTGAAAACATCATCATTTTATGACCTTTATGCTATGCGTAACTACATGTAAGTTACATCTTATATTACATTCACAGCCATTTGAAAAGCTAAGAAAACTTTAATGACATTTTGGAATTTCACGGCAAGAGGTATAACTTTGCTAAACTTCGAAGACAGCATGTGGGACGTGATAATTAGTTGCTAACGGTTTCCAAAAAGGTGTGCATCTACAGTTGGGAATTACACTGAATTCGTGAATTTTATAGATAATGATAACATTGATAAATTAATGTAAAATAAAAAAAGAGAAAAAATAACAGAAAAAAAGAAAACAACAAATTATTGACTTGGATATACTAAATGCAACTTTCCGACATGTAATAGAATTATGATCCTCAAGAAGACTTAGAAGGAAATAAAGAGTAGTAGATTCATGTTACCTCTACTAACAGGGACTTAATTGTTTACAATTATGTAATAATTTTTCATAAATAATTTTATAATTTACCTCAGTGTCAGTACAGGTCACATGAATTATAAAGCATTTATGCCTCTTGCTCGCTTGCCAATAACCTATTGACATACGCTGTGCATTGCCAGGGGTGAGCTCGGTTTGCTGGGAGAATTAAACGGACAACCTTTAATTGCCGTAATCTCGCCACTCAGTTGAGTGGCCGTTTCAAATTACAGTAAAACCGGAAATAAAACTTAGTCCCAGCAAAGGTGAGGGCAAACACCCATCGAATGACAACTCAACGCACCTATGAGAATGCTCGAATAAAATGGGCGGGTTAATAGGGTGGGAAAAGTTTCCCCTGCGCCGAAACTTAACTAAAAGAAGCCCGAAATCACATGTTCGGATGTTTAAGTATCTGCCATTGTAATTCCCGGATGTAACCTATCCGGGGTAATGATAAAACGCGGCGCAGTTGCATAAATTAATTGATTCCCTTTGGTAATAAATCTCATAAAATTCTTGTACTGGGTGATGAAACCCGCGGAAGATGCCACAAAATATCATTTATCATAATTAAGTTAGGATTTAACACGCACTGTCATTGGTTGAAAGAGCGTGCTCCATCAGAATGAAGTGCACGGAGCTAAGCTAAAGCCGTCACGCCATCTGCCAATTTGTACAATGTCCGGCCATTTCTCTGGTCCCTCTCTGACTAGCTTTTCTTATTTAATTGAAAGTGAGCCGGCAAGTAGCAACAGAAGCCGGCCAAGCAAGGGTTTATCCATGAGCCAAGCGCCGTAATAGACGTCATTCTAACGAGAGTAGAGACGACAATACTCAAACAGAAAACGAAATGAACATGCAGTCGAGTTTTGAAGGTTTTCACGCTCAATTAGATTGTTAGCTTACCTACGGTAACAAAAATCAAACACAGGTGAAACTCGTATAGTATATTCAGTTCGTTGTTCAGTGACAAAACAAAATAAAACAGGTATGATAAGAAATATAACCAAGTGCTATAACTGCTTAAATTCATACAAATAATAACGATATCAGAGCGAGGTCCATCGCAGTTAGCTCATGAGGATGTCCGGTCATCGTAGCGCTTGCGCGTGCAGTGAAGCAAGCCTCATGAATTGCATAGTCCGCCCTTCGGGTGAACAAATGAGAGCTTGCTTTGATATCCTTTCCGATGCGTTGAGTGGAGGGCCCCATTAGTCACAGCAGCCGAGTTTTACGAAGCTGTCATCTCGAGCAATCTTCATGTTCCAGTGAATTTGGCTGTCATTCATAAAACACACGCCTTGAGCAGTTTGTTTTCTAATTGTTATGTGAAAAAAATTTGTGTGTTGTTATGAGCCATAATTCGAAAAAACGTCAGGTAAATCCGTAAAATTCGACCTGCCGAGTTATTTCAGTTTGTTAACTTTGATAATTTGACATCTGTGACAGCTTCAGCCTTGTTCAACAAGACGAATAAACATTTAAACCACACATGCTGCGTTATTATTTGTTCATAAGATCTGTAGTTGCGCAACGTTCTCGTTGCCGTCTAATTTCTTTAAAGTCCCTATTATAATTACTATTATTATTACTATTATTATTATTGTTATCATTATTATTATTATTATTATTATTATTGTTATTATTATTATTATTTGCTGACATCAGAATACAACTGGTGATTTCGCAGTTTCAGGACGAAAAATGACGAAACCAATATCTTAGTCGTTGAGATGATAATAATAATAATAAAATTATTTCTTATAGTGTCATTTACAACAAAAAGGTCAGAGCGCGGTCACAGTGTCTAATGTAAATGAGATATATTCGTCGCTCGCTGTGCGAGTGTACATGTTACCAAACATTTAATCACTCTTTTAAATTCGACCACCTGAAAACATGTGGATAACGATATGATTTGTAAGTTTTTAAATTTTATCGCGAAAGTATACTTTTTTCGTCATGGCACGAGTGTGAAAAGGAAAACCTTTTTTTCGAAAAGAAAAATCTTGTCCGTGCATTTTGATATTTTTCTTTTCAGTAATTTGGTGGAGTTAGCCAATTGTTGGGGTAATTCAAAAACAAAATTTTTTGAATAATTTATAATGTTTATGAAATCTGCTCAAAGATTGACAAAATTTGTTCCTGCAGTGTAAATAACTGATTGCCTGCCGTGAGGAATTTGCGCCAAATAATTGTTCGAAGCAGTGAAAGGCAAACATCATACAAACCGAATTTTAAGAATTCGGAGACAAGAAATGATTAATAATGGTAATTGAACTGAGTGGAGTGCAATTTGGGCTGAAATCATACGCGTGATTTCAAAATCGAACGAGCGCGCAGCGCTCGTTCGATTTGAAATAACAAGTATGATTTCAGACCAAAATTGCACGACACGAGGTTCAATTACCACTTTATTACATCCATTTTGAAATCGCCCAAATACAG